TTTTTAACGTTCTGCCCCTCCAGTCAGAAAACTTCCTTTGAGAATCTGACTGAAAGAAAAAGAACCAACTTAGCCATGCCCCAAACCCAAACCGAGTGCTCTCAAGTCAATTCTGAGTTGAATTCCTCCCGAGAGTTTGCAAAGCTGTCAATCTCCCTGGAAGATGACCCCTCCTTCTCCCATGGAGAGGCTGGTGGGTTCAAACCAATGGCCTTTCAGGTCACGGTTCATTGCTTTCACCCGCTGCACTACCAGGGCTCCAGCCGAATTACCAGGGAACACTTTTCCCAAGAGGAATGGTAGGATTTGAACATGCTGGAAAATCGAATCCAGCTTTTCTAACCTTGAATTATCAGCAAACGTAGTTTGTTGATGTGTTCATACACAAACAACGTCTTTTCTTCCGGACTATGAAAGGGGAGTACTGGCAGGTTTTAACACGGAATCATGCCCCTGTGCATCTGCCCTTGAAACGGTTGGCTATCACCACTAAGAGAGCCTTCCATTCTGGGTGGGGACTCCCCAGGCGGGTGTGCAGACGGATGGCCTGTGATTTGTTTAGAGGAAACTGTCTCTTCAGAGGCTCTTGGCCCAGATTCTCACGTTAGTTGGGGAGTTTCTTCTCCAAAGTAATAAATGATTTCCAGATGGTATTAGTTTGGACTTGGGAAGACACTACGCTTTCCTAAGCAGAAAACTGAACTGCGGTGTTGAGCTTTTCCTTCAAAGTGATGAGCTGAAATACTAGAATTACCCAAGCTGAATGAGACCGTTTACCGGTCAAATTACCTTCGGCGTAAATATCGTATGGAATGCCAATGGCATTAGGCATCGTGACAAGCTAAAAACGAATGTATTTCAAAATCATCGAAGCTGGATCGAAAATATCTTTGAGGTGTCTCTCTCTTGCCAGAGAGAGATAAAGCATCTTCATGGTCTCTGTGGGGGTGGTGGTCTACATTACTGCTAAACCCAGTAGAAATTGAAAAGCCCCCCCCCCTCCCCCCCGTTCATTTACATCCCTTCTAAGGTCTGTCCAGCCTTGTGAGCTGTGTCACTTTAACCTGAAGGCGGATGCCCCTTGTTTCCCTCTCCCGTGCCATGCCCCCTTGACCGCAGAGGGTAGTGGCGTTCACATATTATCTCTTCGTTGGCCTGTTGAAGAGAAGAGGGTTTTCTGTAAACTCTAGAGCCTCTTATTCATCACGAGGAGCCCAAGGGCACACGAATTCTGTTCTGTCACATGGGGCGCTATGAGTTGGAAATAACCCAATGGCACCCAACAACAGCAGGGCTTCACCCCTCCCCACTCCAGCGTGTCTGCAACCAGAGCTTCCTACCCAAAGGTGGGTTGGCCCTCAGGAAACATTTGATGATGTCTGGAGGAGATGTTTTTGGTTGTCTCCTGGGAGCTATGGGTGGCTAATGATATCTAGTGGCTAGAGAACCAGGGAAGCTGGTCAACATTTGTGTCAGTCTGGGTAAAACTAGGAAAACAAGTCCACAGAAACTCATATGTATAAGAGAGAGTTTTATATAAAGGGTAAGTGCACATTCAGAAAGCATCCCAAACCAGTGCTACCCAAGCCTATATGTCCAACACTAATCTACAAAGTCCTCCTCCATCTCACAAAACACACACAATGACACCGACTGCAGGAGGAAAGCAGAATCAGTAAACATGTAAGCATCTGACTGCTGGCAGGGGTCTCCACATGGCTGCTCCAGCACCCAGGGCTGCATCAGGATAGGTCCATGTGGCTTCTCCTCAGGGATGTTTGCAGGAAGTGAGCCTTACCAGCTGGAGCAGGGAACTGGCTAAGGCAGCTGCACCCTGGTCCAACCATCAGAAAGTAAGAGACCTGAGAACTACAAAGGCGAGGCTCACCGAGCCATTTATCTCTCCGCCCTTCAATTTACTCCACATGTTTATCGGCCAGGTTGGCACAATACACCTTAACTATCTCAACATTCTACAGAGCGCATAGGACAGACCCCACCACAGGGAATGGTCCAACCTCAATATCAGTCATGCCGGGGTTAAGAGATCCTGGACTAAGGCAGTGCCCCACACTCACTCACAATGAAACTCAGGCTCAAGACATCGTGGCTTTTTACTCTCCAGCCTTTCCCACTGTGTGTAGATTTCCTGTCTGGGAAGGAGTACAGCCAGGATGCCCTCTGGAAGCAAACGTGGCTGGATTTGTCTCACATCCTTTGAACACAGGATCAGGAGGGACCAATCTCTGGAGAAGGACAGTCTGCTTGGTACATGGAGAGGCAGAAATAGGAGGAAGACCCTCGGTGAGACGGATTGACTCAGTGCTGCAAGAATGGGCTCAAACGTAGCCACAATTTCGAGGATGTTGCAGGATGGATGGAGGTGTTTTGTGGTTGCTGTGAGTTGAAACTGTCTCCATGTCACCCCATGACTTCAATATACTACTCTGTGTGGTACATATTGGTTTTAGAATTTCTAGCATTTTTCTTTCCGTTTCTGTTCTCTATTTTCTTTCCTTGAAAGTTCTTTCCCATTCGGCGTTGGTATTTCAAATGAGTCCTTTGTCTGTCCTGCCCCATGAAGTTGTCATCCGTTATTTCTAAGGATACCCATCGAGGGGACTTCTTAGAAGGAAGGCATGGGAATCTGCTTCCAAAGGCGGTGCCAGGGAGAGAGTTCTATCCGGCACACAGAGAAGCTGGGTATGACCTTGACAGCACACCGTGTCATTTCACTCTGTACCTGGAACTCTCCGGTGACTTCCCTTCACAATGAAGAGACCCGGACACTGGACTACGAATGGCTTCCTGCCCAATTGGCCTTCGGGTTTGGTTTGGTTTTGTTGACTCTTTAGTGTGTTGTTGAAGAACTCTGCTGCACAAGAACTCTTTCAAGTGTTGAATAGCCAAGATGTCACTTGGGGGAGCTATATTGTGCCTGCCCCAAGCCATGGTATTGTCACTCGCCTCTCATGCATGTAGAAGTTGGACGCTAAGGAAGGAAGACCACAGCGATGGGGCAAAAACATATTGAACGCGGCATGGACTGTCAGAAGCACAGACAAATGTGATTTGGAAGAAACAGAGCCAGAATGTACCTTGGAAGTGCTGACGGACATCGTGTTGAGTAAAGTAGAGGGTCAGATATAAGCATGGTGAGGGTGGTGCGCCACCAGGCAGTAGCCCCTTCTGTTGGGCACAGGGTCGCGATGAGTTGGAACTGACTCCGTGGCACCTGACAACAGCAACCACACAATGAAAAAGCGATGTATTTATCATGAGAACACTCTTATGACGAGTCACTGAAAAGGGAATTGCAACAGTTTTGTGCACGTCTTTGCCAGCACATCAATTTGTTGTCTTCTTGGGGCCCTAGTGGCATAGTGGGTTACAGGCTGGACTGCTCACCTCAAGGTCACCAGTTCAAAACGACCAGCTGCTCTTTGGGAGAAAGATGAGGCTAGCTGCTTCTGCAAATATTTCCAGTCCTGGAAAATCCACAGGGGCTATTGTGCTTTTCCCTACAGGGTCACTGTGAATCGGAACTGACTCATTGACAGCTGACAGCAACGACAGCCTTCCTCTTACCTGTCCTATCTTTATCTTGCTTCCTTTCCAATGAAACCTTGCCTAAACTTCTGGCCTCTTTTCATTACGTCACCTTCCGGAAATTGGTCTCACACTGCAAGGTCAGCAATTTAAGACTCCTAGCTGCACCATGGGAGAAAGCCGTCTGCTTCTGTAAAGATAGACGGCCTTGGAAACCCTGTAAGGAGAGGTCTGCTCTAGCCTGTGGGAGTCAGAATCAACTCAGTAGCCTTGGATCTCTCAGACCACGAGATCCATTTTTTTTAACCCAAACCATTTTATTAGGACATAATCCAGACTTCATCCCATTCCATAGGGAAAGGCTTTATTTTCAAGTCAGCAGCCATATCTCTTCCTTTCCTCCCAGCCTGCTGGAATCGTCAACAGCACTCTCTCAGTAAAGACTGAGACTGCTTAGCTGGTTCATGTTCTCGTAATTCGCCTATATAGAATCAAGAGAAGATTTGACCATAGAGAATCAAGAGAAGAGGGAGCCCAAAGAGCTAGGTCCAGGGACTCTGGATCTTGACCTGTTCTGTGGCATATCCTGATGATTGCACAGTTTGGGGAAAGAAAGTAGGTCTTCATTCTTTAGTAGAAATAGGATTCTCCAATAGGCACACAATGGAGCCGACGAACCGAAGTATGTGTGTATGAGCAATTACATGGGTTGGATATTTGAACACAAAGATCTCTAGACCTGGACTGTGGGCCATACGCGGGACTTAAGGCTAAAAGGGAATCAGAACTGGTTGGCAGTATCCAAGCGATGTTTCTGGAGTTCTCTCATTGAGCAATCTCCATTCTGCCGAGGTTTAGACGCCAGGAGTCCATGTAGCTCTATTGAAAACATGAGTAGCTTACATGGCCCCACATTCTCTGGACCCCATCATTATGAATTGATGTTGTATTCACGTCATGCTCTCCTTTTATACGACCACAACCCCAACTTAGCCAGGATCAGAGATGAGCCAAAAATGAACCCACGAGAAATGACCAGCTCGGGCCCTTCATAAAAATATATCCACCGGATCTTATTCCTTCCCCTCCCTCCCCTCTTTCGATTGATGAAACTTAAGAGTGATTGGAACCCTTTTTTCCCCACATACATTTCAGCAGATCTGGGGGTTGGTTGGTTGGTAGATTGGGTTGCTGTTGTTTGTTGTCTTCATTTGGAGAAATTCTGATTGACAACATGTCAAGACGGAGAACGAACACCGGAAGCACTAGAATCATAGATGATGTGATTTTGAAATACTCGTGTGTGTGTGTGTGTGTGTGTGTGTGTGTGTGTGTGAGAGAGAGAGAGAGAGAGAGAGAGAAATGTGTGGAAGGGTCTATCTGTCTTTTCTGAGAAAGCAGCAGGCAGCACCAGCTCTTGTGAAATAACCTTGCCCCTCTTTGCTTTTCAGATTCTGTCATGACCAACGGCCATGCCACGGACTATTTATTTGTTGGCAATATTGTTTACACGGTGAGTTGCTCTCTGCTCCTTGAACCGTACTGAGGGCCCACGTGTGGGCTTTTTCTCGTCAAGTCCTTGGTAGCGGGCTTGCCGGTGGTTTTGTTCATGTCAAACCTTCGAATGATGCTAGTCTTGGTTCCTTAGGGTGCAGGCTGGCTGGGGAACGGTGGCCTCCATTTTTCCGAGAACATTATGTGGCGTCTAGGCTTCTGGGCTGGTCCTTAGCAGGTTCCCCTCTTCTCCAAATGGCTCTTGCTCTTTTTATGACAGAAGAACACACACCACTAGCAAGCTAAGCAAAAGGCAAAAGTCACTGTTTACTGCGAGGGTCTCTAGGATGAGGGTATCTCTTGAACTAAACCTGCCTGTTGATGCTAGGTGCCATCAGGTCCCAACTCGGAGCGACCCTCTGTGCAGTAGAATGAAACCTTGCCCTGTCTTCTACCATCAGCCCAGTGGTCACGGTTGAGCTCAGTAGACCCCTCCAAACTAATCCTAGAGAATCACTCACCAAGGGGTGCTTTCAAAGGGTAGCTACCTTGGGGGGCTTTCTATTTGGGAGACAGGAGATTTTGTACAGAAGTTAAACTAATTCACAAAGATAATACATTTTCCCAATCTCCTCTTTGTTCCCCACCTCTCACAGTATGTTGTTGTAACCGTTTGTCTGAAAGCTGGATTGGAGACGACAGCTTGGACGAAAGTAAGTTTTCTTAAGAATTGTTTCTTTATCCAGTGTGGATTTTTTTTAATGTAGTGATTTTAATTGAGCCTTAGGAAATCAACAAACAATATCCAGCTTTCTTCTTTGAAACTCTGCATGTAAAATGTGTGGTTTGATCTTTATTGGGGAAAATTTGCTATCCAAAATTTCCTGGTGATTCATTTTCTGGATACTTGATACAGTTGTGAGCTATTAACAACCATTTCAAATGGCTAGGTGGCCCTTGTATATACATACACACACATATATATGCATAATACCTCGATTATATATGTGTATATAGGGTAGCATATGATTAAGAACAAATGATACTGAATATATGTGTTTATACAAGATTAAGAACCAGTGGTACTGAATATATGTGTAGATATACATATACATGAATACATTTACCACAAACATGCAGCTAATACAGAGAGATAAATAAGAAGTGGCAAAATTCCAGATGTTTCTCTGTGGGCAGACGTGGCTCTCGATAGTGAGACAACACCTTGCAGAGCAGAGAGTTTATCAGAGGCACAATCAGGATGGTGGGCCCGGACAGATGCACTATCTAGACCCCCTCCAATAAATTCTCAAGAAGCCAAGTGAAACAGGTATGAGTGACCATTCTGGAACCTGAACTTCCACCGGAAAGTATAAAGCGACATTTCAAATATGGATTAGAAGAAGGAACTGACCGAAAGCAGTGAACAGAGAGGCCAGTTGCCAACGACGACGCCGGCACAGGGCGGCCCTTGTGAATCATTGCAAGCAGTGTCGTGGTCAGGGCGGGAACCAGACCACCAGCTCTGCTCGCCGGGGTCGGTGTTGCCCCCACATCAGCGATTGGTAACCAGAGACGTGTCATCTCCCTTTCCGCTGTACAACTTTCTGGAGGCCAGAAGCGCGCGCGCGCGCACACACACACACACACACACACACACACACACACACCCCGGCACCCAGTCAACACTCACCTACGACCACTCCTGGGCCTTTTCTTTTCTTTTCTTTCTTTCTCCTAAGTGCTTCCCTACAATCTTCCTTTGGGGGAGGCGGTTCTTAATTCTGTACCTTGTTTTTATATCCTTGGCTTCTCCCTTTTTAAAAAACCTTTGGCGAGGACATCCTACCCCATTGTCTCTGTGGATAGGAACAGGAGTTCCCCCCACCCACCCCCTTCATGGCTCCCGTGCACACACCCCCCTCTGCCCCCATCATGTAGCAAGAAAGACATTTGACAACATCCAATACTCGTTTTGATTGAAAGTGTTTAGCACACTATGAAGAGGAAACGAAATCCCTGAACATACGTTCGGACGTACACGACGTTCTAATCTCAGTGACAAATACCGGCAGCAATTCCCTTGCAAATAAGACCCTGATGTGGACACTGTTTGTCTCCGCTCCGGGGCCGTACTGGAATTCCTAACCCAAATGTGCACAGATGAAATTAAAACTATCTCTATTTGCAGGAGCTATGAATCTATACATAGAAAATTAATCTAGAAATAGAAAATACATGGAGACCCCCAGAGACTCCAGGAAAAAACGTCTGCAGCTAACTTCAGGCTTCAGCAAAGCGGCAGGATTTAAAATTAACATCCGAAAGCCACTAGGATTCCTCCACGCTAACAAAACTCTAAAAGGGAAATCAGGAAAATGATGCGTTTTCACGGGCTACCCAGAAGATCCAGTATTTAGGAGTAAATCTAACCAAGTACAAAAAGCCATGCTTTCCCGTGGCTTGAGTCAGGCATTACCTTAGTCTTCAAAGTAACATTCTTGCTTTCCAGCGCTTCCCAGAGGTCTGTGCTGCAGGTTTACCCAGCACAGTGTGTCTCATTTAATCTCCTGACTGCTGCTTCCAGGAGCATCGGTTGTGAATCCAAGCCAAAAGAAATCCTTGCCAGCTTCAATCATTTCTCCGTTTATCGTGATGTTATCTATGGGCCCAGGATTTGGGTTTTCTTAACACTGAGTTGTAATCCATACTGCGGGCTGAAATCTTTAATCTTCGTCAGCCAGGGCCTCGAGTCCAAGAGAACGAGTTTCACTCCATTCATTCGTTTGCGTATTTGGTATCTGCTGTGTCCTGGTGGTGTCGTGGTTAGGCATTGGGCTCATAAGAGAGAGATGAGCAGTTCGAAACCACCAGCCTCTCTGTGGGAGAAAGGCTTTCTACTCCCTTAACGACGTACAACCTTTGGTAACCCCACGGAGCAGTTCGACTGTGTTTTGTAGGGTTGCTGTGAGTTATAGTATGGACTGGACAATGGTGGTTTTGACTCTGGCAGGCACCTTGCAAGGTACTGGAGATTGCAGTGGCAAGTTTATAATGGCCCAGGGTATACAGGGCAAGAGGTCAGATGAAAGACCAGAGCAGGGGTAACTGAGGGAGATGATACTGAGGAAGGAAGGAGAGGTCAGCTAAGCCTTGGGGCCACTGGAGGAAGAGGGTAGGTGCCAAAGAAGGCAGGGAGGCATGGCCGATGGGTAATGAAGAGAAGCCTCGTGCCGATTTCTGGAAAACCAAAAAAGAAGTAAGAGTTCTCTTAAACACATTATCTACAGAAATGAGGAGATGGAAAAGGCCACCCCACGGCTAGGGGAGGTGGTGGGAGGTGGCTGATGTCCAAAGGAGGTCTTCAAGAGATCCCTCTCACTTTCAGGAAAGCCCAAGAATATCTGGGATGCAGAAGTCAAGTTTTTGTGACAAGAATGCCCTTTGGATGTGAAGCCGTTTGGGAAATGGGATCCCATTTAATATTATACACGTGTGTGTGTGTGTGTGTGTGTGTGTGTGTGTGAGTGAACTTTGGGAAATTAAAAGAACGATTAAGAACTGAAGTCTTGAGAGGAAAAAGTGAAACATCTGGTTCATTTAGTCCCTTCAACCACTCTCTGGCTAGAATCCTGAGAACCTTGCATTATATAGCCCTGAGTTGATAAACCCTTCTGAGGGTTGAATTGAGAAGTGCCCTTATCACTCTGAGATGGGTCTAGAGGAGGCCCTGATGTAGTAGCAAAGCATTTGCATCTCCAGGGGAATTTGGAGGCCCAAGTTACTTGATCCCATTGCTCAGCATTCTGAGACCATGACACGTGAACGCTTGGTCCCTCCACTAATTGGCAAGTGGCCACGCCCGTGGCATAAGGCAAGGTGGCTTGGACACGGGCATTCTCCCTGAGGCAGGCCAAAGTAGATGTCCTTGTGCAAATAGAGGAGCCAGCTTGACCTTCCATTTCCCTCTGCAGTTCAGCCATCTGGCCGTCTGGGGAAGCATGGCGATCTGGCTGGTGTTCTTTGGCGTCTACTCCACCATCTGGCCCACCATCCCCATCGCTCCAGATATGAAAGGGCAGGTGAGTGCTACTGATTGGGGGCAGGTGTGCATGCTTTCTTTGCCTATCCACCATGGCATGACCTGTTTCCATCGAAGCATATAATGGGATGAACAACAACAACAAAAACACCTACAAGGGGTTGTCCGGTCCAAAGAAAGGACATTTGAGATGTTGAATCTTGTGAAAAATGTCAACTTGCATCCTGTGCCTACCCCAGCGTGCCCACCCACTCTCCCATCATAAGTCACGCAGTCCTCGTCCACCCTGCTGATGCCCCTGGCTGTTGGCAACTCAGAGCTGCTTGTGAGATGTGTGTGAGCCTATGGTTATGCTGGTTCAGGTGTTATTGCTGTCTGTTTCTGGACTGAATACATGGTCATCAGTCACCTGGGCAAAGAAATATGACTCTTCTGTTAGCCATGGAATCCATTAACCAGGAAAACTATTCATCTCTTTTTGTGTAATCTCTCTAATTTTAAAAAGCCAAGTAGACGCATTTACCTCAGTGAATGTGCATGTAAAGAGGCTATGATTTTAAGACATAGATGTGCATTTAGGTGGTTTTTAATACCTCCTCTTCTAGTTGATTGAGCTTGAGCTATCTGCAGTTACAAACTAGTCCCTAGGAGGAGGCAGGGGAAAGGAAGTAGTGTTAACAAACCCAGGGACAATGAGTGATCCAAAATTGGTGGCGAGGAGGGTGTAGGAGGCCTGGTAGGGCTTGATCAAGGGCAATATAACCGAGAGGAATTACTGAAATCCAAATGAAGCATGGTAGTGGAACAAGAGGAAAATAAAAGGAAATAGAGGAAAGAACTAGGAGGTGAAGGGCATTTATAGAGGTCTAAATACGGTCATGTACTTATGTAAATATATTTATATATGATGATGGGGAAATATATGTACATATACTTATAGGTTTAGTATTAAGGTGGCAGATGGACATTGGGCCTCCACTCAAGTAATCCCTAAATGCAAGAACACTTTGTCCTATTAAACTGGCATTCTGTGATGCTTAGCTTCCTGACACAATCGCTGAAGATAAAGCAGGTGCAGAAACAAGTGTGGTAAAGAAAGCTGATGGTGCCTGGCTATCAAAAGATATAGTTTCTGGGGTCTTAAAGGCTTGAAGATAAACAAGTGGCCATCTATCTGAGAAGCAACACGCTCACATGGAAGAAGCACACCAGCCTGTGTGATAATGAGGTGTCGATGGGATCAGGTGTCAGGCATCAAAGAACAAAAAATCATATCATTGGGAATGAGGGGGAATGTGGAGTGGGGACCAAAGCCCATCTGTAGGCAACTGGACATTGGGTCGCAGGGAGGAGATGAGTTAGTCAGGGTGCAGTATAGCAATGATGAAACATACAGCTCACCTCTAGTTCTTAAATGCTTCCTCCCCCCACTCTCATGATCCCAATTCTACCTTACAAATCTGGCTAGACCAGAGGATGTACACTGGTACAGATAGGAACTGGAAACACAGGGAATCCAGGACAGATGAACCCCTCAGGATCAGTGGTGAGAGTGGTGATACCGGAAGGGTGGAGGGAAGGTGGGGTAGAAAGGGGGAACTGATCACAAAGATCTACATATAACCCCTCCTTGGGGGACGGACAACAGAAAAGTGGGTGAAGCCCTCAGGCAGTGTAAGACATGACAAAATAATAATAATTTATAAATTATCAAGAGTTCCTGAGGGAGGAGGGCAGGGGAGAAGGGGAAAAATGAGCTGATACCAAGGGCTCAAGTAAAAGAAAATGTTTTGAGAATGATAATGACAACCAATGTACAAATATGCTTGGCACAATGGATGTGTGTATGGGATTGTGATAAGAGTTATATGAGTCCCCAATAAAATGATTTAATAAAAAAAGGATCTCATGGCATCAGGTCTGGAGATGAGCTAGGATCCCTTAGTCCCATCACGTAGCTCTGCCCCCAGCCCTGCCCTTAGCCTTTGACAGGCACATCTGCCAAAGACCTTGAGCTCAGGAGGTCCCTGCTTTGGCCCTCAATGGCTGCCCTCTGCCCCCTCTCCGTGGGGTGAGAAGACCCTGGGCTACGGAGCCATCGTATTCACTTTTCCCAGGATCCTGAGTGTCTTTGCAGCGTTCTGAAAACCCCTGCCCAGCCGTGCCTAGGCCCTTCTCAGGTCCCTGAGCACCTCCTTCCCCCAGGGCGTAGGCAGGGTAGCTGCGGTGTGTGCACTGCCCTGCCCACACTTGTCTGCCTGGGGGTGCTCACATAGTGGGATGGAGCCAGATGAGAAGCACAGACGAGGGGTCTTGAATTAAATCTTTTTAGCCACATGCCCGCATATAGCATACCTGCTGCCTGCTGCCTAGGCCTCACTTGAGGGACGACCCAAGTCGACGTGTGTTGGAGCCACACTTCAAGTGAGACGACCTGGGAGTGACACTGGTGGCCATTGGCAAGGTGAATAAGGGGCTGGTAGACCCAGGCTGGGCAGGGGTCCCTTGAGTGTGGGCACAGCAGGGCACCCTGCCCTCCCAGGGAGCTGGGTTGTCCTTGAGCACATCTTTGCTTTCTGTCCGGGAAGGAGGCAAACACATTGCACGGCTCCATGGTTCTTCTCCAAACCTCGATGGTACAGAACAGGCAGGAGACTGTCCTAGAGCACAAGGAACAATTTCCAGCAAAGGTGATCTGCGCAGGGACATCTTCTGCCCTAAAGCAATGTGCTTTGTCCCATTCCCACCCCGCAAACAGCCCACAACAACAGACGTATTCGTTGCCATCATGTCTACCTGCGAAGGTGTTGGTGCTAAGAATAGCTGCCCCCTCTTAATGTCTTCCCGGCTGAGGGAGGGCCTCAGCTGATGACCATTACCGCTGGGGACATCCCCCAGTGAAGGGTGGTAAAGGGGCTTGTAGTCCCTGGCTCAGTATAGTTTTCTGAATGAGAGTTGGTGTGTGTTGGGCATCCGGAGCCTGATCCTTTGATAGGCACTCCCTGTGCCTTCTGCGGGGATCGGCTCTCCTGAATGTCACCAGCATGTACGTTTGCATC